CTTATTCACCTCATTGCCCTCCCTGCCCTTGGCTGCTTGCAGAGTCTGCAGAGCCCCCACGTGCCTCGGGGTGCCCGTGCCCAGGGACAGCAGCCAGAGCTGGGCAGGGAGCAATGCCTCACCAGGACAGGGACCTGCTCCACCGCTGGGAGAGCAGCTGGGCACACAGTGAAATCATCCCTGACTGGCAACGGGCTGGTGGCAACTTCCCTGCAACTGCCCGGACTGAGAGCGAGGAACGTGTGCCATGGCTGCTGGGCAAACCCCACACACCCCCAGGTACGAGGGGACGCGCCCGCGCTGGCTGCACCGGCGTTATCCCAAAACGCTTGCAAGGCAAGAATGGGGAAGGGTCATTGTCCCTATTGTGCCCCAAATCTTTACTGGAAGCGTGGCTGGGCATCAGCAGGGGCTGCCCAGGGAGGGTTGCAGTGCCCATCCCTGCAGGTGTCCCCTGGAGGTGGCACTCAGAGCTCTGGGCTGGGGACAAGGTGGGGATTGGGCACAGCTGGGACTCGATCCTGGGGGGCTTTTCCAGCCTCAGTGATTCTGTTATTCTATGAATACAGCTGACATAGTTGAAGATGATCATCAGTGTGAACTTCTCTTATTGCTCAAGAGACTTTGGGCACAGGTCCTTCAGCAAGCTCTGTGCTGCTCAGAGAAGCCACCCCACTGAGCTGGTGCCAGCAGCACCTCCCTGAGAGCCCCTGGGTTATTGCTGGGTGTCTGGCTCGTCTCTTACATTATATAGAGATGCCCACAAGCTGTCCAGGCACCACCTTCCTGGGGATTACATTCTGGTTCTCACAGAGTGCTCAGTGGACTGCTGAGATACTGTGGAGGTGCTGCAGAGGCAGTGCAGATTCCTGCTGTTACAGGAGGGGATTTGTGAGTCCTCAGTTTTATTCCTGTGTGTACCACTCCTTTTCCTTAGGATCCCTTTTCCCGTGTACTTTGTCACTGAGGGTGACAAACACTGACACAGCTGCCCAGGGCAGTGAAGGTGCAAACTTCACCGTTTGCCCTTTCCCCACCTGCCCCAATGTTGTTTGCAGTGGGCTGAGAGCTGCTCCCCTGGCCTCACCTCACTGCAGGAGCTGCACGAGGCACCCACTGGGCTGCCCCTGCCAAAGAACAGCAGCAGCAGCAGCAGCAGCATCTCACTTCTTGAGTAGCTGGAAGAAATAGAGCCTCACTGAAGACACCAGCCTGTGATGTCCTTTCTGCCTTCATTTACTCCTGTATACTCAGCATAAAGTAAATCACATCCTACCCACTGCAAAAGTCACAGAATGGTCAGAAGGGACCAGCCCTTGCCATGGGCACCTTCACAAGACCAGGCTGTTCAGTGCTCCATCCAGCCTGGCCTTGAACATTTCCAGGGATGGGGCAGCCACAACCTCTTGGGACAACCTATTCCAGTGCCTGACTGCCCTCAAAGTGTGCATCATCCCTCCTGTAAATCACTGTGGCTGTAAACACAGAACAAAACATCCAAATAGTTTCAAGCACACTGGGGAACATTGTGGTGCACCTGGAAATTGTTTTTGAATAACAAATTCAGTATTTTATTTATTTGTTTTAAAGCAGTGTTTTCAGTGCATAGCATGGACTGGTGCTCGTTGGGGTAAGGGACATTCACTCCAGGAAATACAAAGAATCTTCTCATTTGTGTCACAGACCTGATCAAATGCAGCATTTTAAAAAAGAGTTTTAAATAAAAGAAATTGCATTTGTAATGCTTATAGAGAACAGTCCATGTCTGTCAGAAGTTACATTTCCTTGTTGCCTCCCTCATGGCTTGGAGTGTGAGCAGGTCTCTGCCATCCTCCAGAGACAAAACAGGCAGCATGTATGTGCTGGGCTGTGAACAGCTCCACTGTGCATCACCTCAATTTCCATGTTAAACTCATCAGTTGCAGCTGCCCAGAATCACAGCAAGAGGCTCTTAATACAAATGGCACTGCAGCTGTGGGACACTGAGATGGGAGTTTCACCCTGAGCGAAAATCGCGACAATTCACAGGACCAATCATTAGTGATGGTTAAAGATATTTGGGCTCCATATCTAAGCCAAACCTGCAGAACATTTCCCCCTCATTCTTGCAAAGCCCCTTAGTAAAAACCAACCTGATTCTTGAGCTCTCTTGTTGGATCTTAGCATTCAAGGCAGGCACCAAGACTGGAAACACTCAGACTACACTGTCTGGGTTTTAAGTACTGGGAAACGAGGGACGGGGAACTTGAGGCAGCCTTAGCTAGCAGTGGTGCTTTCCCTACAGCTCCCACCGGCCTTCCAGCCTGGGTGGGGAGGAAGGGAAATATCTGACCTGCATCTGACCCTTGAGCCCGTGGGACTCAGTTCAGGGTCAGAGCTGGGAATGCTGGAGCTGGTGCAGCCACAGCCCCTGCTCACTGAGCAGATGCAAAGTGGCATTTTCATCCTACTCCCATTTCCCCACCATTATACTGTGCCATCCCCTCGGAGAGTTATCCTGTGCAGCAGATGAAAGAAAGCATCAACTCTGCAGCACCCACTGAGGTTTAACATTCACGTCAGGACACAGAACTCAGCCCCCACCTTTCATGAGTGCTTTACTCACTGCTCATTTCCCCATTGCCACGGGCAAACTTTCATGTTCAAGCAGATTTTCCCAGTTATTTTGTTCCCACATAGCGCAGGTATGGATCTTGTTCATCCAAATTTAACAAGCACCAAAGTATCAGCCCTGCACAATTTGCCTTGCAAACCACCTCACGTCCCTCTAGCCCTCCCCTGCATCTTCCATCATGTTTGTACTGGCGCCTGTAGCAGCCCAGGCCACACATCTGGGCTGGTCCTGTCCCCTTGGCTCCTCCGTGGGCATGTGGGATGTTCTGTCTGCCCTGTGCTTCCCCACAGCTGCTGCTCTCAGGTACCACTGCACCTCACTCACTTCAGCGTTCCTTGACTTTGGAAACAGCTTCCATGACAATCCCTGACTGGCCAAAGCAGGCTCTTGGGAACTCATCTGAACTTGCTTTGTGTGCGCTGTGATTCTTCATGTTCCTGTTTCTAAGCTTTTACCCACTCCTCTCTGTGCAGAAGGTGTGGGGCTCACAGCCTTCAGTCCGGGCAGGTGGGACACTGCTCTGCTGTGTGCAGCCGTGATGCTCTCACACTGCAGAGCTGCCTCTGCCACAGCAATTGGCAAAGTCCCTGCACATCGCAGCGGCGATTCCTCGCTGGGTTCTGCTCATTCTAGTTTCCTGTTCTGAGCACTGCCAAACTTTTCACCTGGATGCCATAGGGCTTGGGATGCCTCTCCAGCTGGTGTAACCTGACACGGCTCCCTCCAGCGTAGCCTGGCTTTGATGTAATCGCTGTTGGCCAAACGCTGTAAGACTGTGCCAAAAACACAACAGCAGCAGCAAAAGTTCCTTCCCCGATTTATTTTCTTTTTCCCTGTCTGTGGATGTATCAAAGTGCACCAGGGTGGTGTATTGGATCAGCTCACTTTCGACAGCTGTGATAGCTGCATCCGCGTAAGCTCACTGCATCTACAGTGCAACTTTATGCAGCTGTCTCAGGAGCTGCGCGAAACCCTAGAGAAGACTTTCCAGAGAAGTCCAGCACTGTTCTCTGTTTCTGCATTGCATCTATCTGCGTGCATAGATCACTGGAGGTCAGCAAGTATCCCATGGATAAAGCAGAATTTCAATATGCTTTTCATTTAATTATATATTTAATTTGCATCTTCTGACAAGGAAGGCCGGTGCTCCGGATCTGGCAGGGCGTTTGCCATTCCAGCCACATCCCTGCCTGGTGGTTTGCCACAGAGGAGACTGGGGAGGGTTGTCCCCTCAGCCCAGCGTCACTCGCGCCCTGCCCAGGCTCCCCAGCTCGGGCGCGGGGCTTCCGCGCCTCGTGTCCCTGTCCCCGAGCGGCGAGACACGGACCGCCACGGGGATGTTTCACGCACAGCAGCAGTGGCTGATCTGTCATTTCTCGGGTTTCTTTGGCGAAGTTACCGGGCAGGTTTGTTCCGCAGCGGGGGTTGCCGTGAGCTGCGGAAGACTTTGGGGCACCCGCGGGCTCTGCACGGACCGCAGCCCTCGGCGGGGTGCTCGCTCCCGGGCCGAGCGCGGGATGCTCCTCCAGCATCACCAACCAGGTCGCCGTCCCCTCGCGACAGAGCCCTGTCGCGACATGCGCCGGGCCCCTCCGGTACCGGTACCGCTTCCCGCGAGCCGCGCTCGGGCGGTGGCACCGCCGGGGCCAACGGCGGCTCATCTCATTCCGTCCCCGGGGACAGACCCCGGTTGCCGAAGGGGCCGCCGGGCCCGGGGAGCCGCTCCCCGCTGGAGGCAGCGCCCGCCCCGCCTCGTTCCGAGCCCCGGTACCGGGCGGGCAGCGCCGTTGCGCGCAGGTGGGGCAGCCCCGGCCCCGCCCGGTCCCCGGGGAGCGGCCCCCGCCGAGCGGTCCCCGCCGCGTCCCCCGGGCCGCGCTCCGCGCCGCGGGGACCGCCGGGCCGCGGGACGGCGCCGCCGGGCGTGCGCGCGCCCGCCGCGGGTGGCGTTGCCCTTTTAAGAGCGGCGCGAGGCGGCGGTGACGTCGCGCGCGCAGAGCGCTAGCCCGGCGCGCCCGCCCGCCCGCACAGCCGGGAGCGGCGGCGGCACCGCGGAGCGCCCGGACCCGCCCCGGCACCGGCCCCGCCGAGCCCTGCACGGCCCGCACCGCACCGCCCCGCCGGCACCGCCGCCCTGCCATGCGCCGCGGCCCGGCGCCAGCCTCCGCCGGCGGGAGCCGTCCCGGCAGCAGCAGCAGCAGCAGCAGCGCGGCGGCGGGCGAGCGCTGAGCCGCGGCCCCGCAGGGCGCGGATGTTCGCGGGCTGCCCGCGCCGGGAGCTCTCGCTGCGCTGACGGGGCGGGCCCGGCGCCCCGCTCGCCGCAGCGCCCCGCGCCCGCCCCCGGGCTCCCCGCAGCGCCGCCGCTCCCGGCCGCGCTTCCGCCCGCGCCATGGCGGGGAAGGCGGCCGCGGCCGGCGCCGGGGTGCTCCTGGTCACCGCCAACGTCGGGTCCCTCTTCGACGACGTAAGTACCGCGGGCACCGGGGCGAGCGGGGGTCCGCGGGCCGCCGGTCGCAGCGCCGCCCGCCCCCCGCGCTGCCGCTGCCGCCCCGACCGCGGGTGCCGGTGGCGCTGGGGGCCCGGCGGCCGTCCGGCCGAGCCCCGGCGCCTCCCGGGGGTGGGACGGCTCTGCCGGAGCGCGGGGCGGCGGCACGGCCGCGGCAGCGCCGGGGGAAGGGGGCGCCGCTGCCGCGTCCCGGTCCCCGGGGTGGTCGCCGGGCGGCACCGTCCGCAGCGCCCGGGCCCCTCCGCGGCGCCTTGCCCGCCTCCGGGCGCTCTTCTCCTGCCGCCGGGCACAGTGGGGCACCAAAATGCAGCGTAATTTCTGCTCGGCGTAGTGACAGGGCAGAGCTCCGGAACGCTTCTCGTCCCTGCAGATGAGGCGAGAGCCGCAGCTGGCACGGGCCAGCAGGGCGAGGAACGCTCGGTTCCGCTCGGCTCGGTGCGTGAGTGAAGGCAGATGCTGATGACCATCGCTAGGCTCCGCACCCCGGACGCTGCCCCGAGAGCCGCTGGAGCCGCTAGCAAAGCCTCCCTGTGGCCGAGCAGTGAGGACGCGTCCCACAGAGCGAGGGGAGCATTTCCAGGGCTTTGCTCGTTATAAAGTAGTGCACCTCTGGCAGAGAATTGGGTCCAGGCTTGTGCTGTGTGTTGTTCTTGCTGTGTGTTAGGAGGGGCTTTGCTCTAAGCCTGATGCACAGAGCCCCGAGGTGCACTAACCCAGGGAGTTTTTTTGTCTGGTCTTCAAAGTCCACTTAGCTTTTTCGTCACTTTAAAGCCTTTTCTGGCGTTCAGACTTTGATTGTAACTGCTGTAGACAAAGGATGCAGTTCACCTTCTCTTCAACTTAAATGGACTTTTACTGTTATCACCACAGTTAATTTTACACTTGGGCGTGCCGCTTGGTATTAAAATAACGTTGTGAAATGTTCGTGTCACGGGGATTGCCGTGGCTGTGGCCTTGGGCATACCCAGCCTCTGTGTGTGAGTGATGCTGGAGTGTTCAGCAGGTGGTTCCTGCCTTTTTCCTCCTCCGTGCTGGAGCCGCGGGGTGACAGCTCTGCGCACTATCCATGAGCCCCGTGACTCGCTGTGCTCCTCCTGTGCCTTGGCAGGGGCAGTGCCCCCGCAGGCTCCCCGGCCCTTTCCTGCCTGTTCCTGGTGGGTGTTGGGGCTCCTGAGCGCGCTGGCTGAGCGGCGTTCGCTGCTCCAGAGGGAACGCGCTTCAGCTCCAGCCAGCTGCTGCCTTGCCATCACAAACTGAGCTTTCTGCCATCACAAACTGAGCTTTCTGCCATCACAAACTGAGCTTTCTGCAGCAGCGACACCGGGGTTGTTTGGATCGGTTCCACTGCAGGGTGGGACATGGAAAGATGCTCTGAACGTCTGTGGTTGTGGTCCTGGTGTGTGGCTGTTGGAGTTAGGACTGGGGGCTGCCTGGCCGGGCTTCTGCAGTTACATTAGTGCAGGTTGGGTGCAGAGAAGGTGACATGAGCTGGGTTTGGGGACTTGGCTCTTGAGCTGTGTGTGGGAGCTGTCAGTGGCTGCTTCTGCTTGCTGGGCCCTTCCCGTGCAGTCGAGGAATATGTTTCTCTGCTGTGACCTGGAATGGTTTCAGTCCTGAACAAGAACTTGCTTTGATGAACTGGGCCAGAGCTGGGCTGGAAAACCACTTCCCATTCCTTTAACTCATGTTTTCTATTTCTGATTTCAGTGGGTGATATGTATTTTAGTTTAACGCTGCACTCTTAGTGAGATGTAGCCTGAGCTCCAGGCTGTGTAACAGCGTGTGCTGTCACAGGGCAGTGCAGGGGTGCTGGCAGATGGGGTGGCCAGGCCAGGCACCCTCACTCACACACTGCTGCTGGCCCTGTGCTGGGCTCCTCTCTGCAGTGGCCAGAGCCCTCTGGGGGAGCCATTCCCCCCTCTGGGGGAGCCATTCCCTGTGGGGAGCCATTCCCTGTGGGGAGCATTCCCTGTGGGGAGCGTTCCCTCCGCAGCTCCGGGGCAGGTGCCCGTGTGCGAGGCTGCGGGGCCAGGCTGGGTCTGGGCAGGGGGCTCTGGTGCTGGGGGGCTCCAGCCCTGTCCCACCCAGCAAACCCCTGATGGCTCTGGGCTGCCCTGTGTCCCTCTGTTCCTGAGCGGGGCTGTGTGGCAGCAGCATGGTTTGCACTTCAGGTGTGTTTTGTGTGAGTGCTGTTTGCTTGTGTGTGCAAATGCTCTTGAGACCAGCATTTCATAGCTCAAAATACCTTTGGTAGGCAGGTTGGCCTGGGTGGACAGTCTTTCCTAGATCAGGAAAAGCTGACCTGCCTGTACTTTTGCAAAGAGGAGAAAGTTGCTTTTTTTGCTCTCCAGTTGCCAGAAGCAAGTCAGGATAACATATGAGTTTGCTCCTGCCAGCCATCCCCATCCACTAATTACCTGTTGCAGTGGTGACCTGGGAGCTCATGAATAAATATGTGAAAGTGAAGAGGGACTGAGCTGGGTTCATTTCATTCCTCTAGTAGCTTTGCTGCTTCATTAAGAATATTAGTGGAATATTAGATTTTCAAATATTCTTCCAAGTTACATGAACATGTGCATTTCATGAATATGAATGTGTATGATTTTTGGTACCTTTGTGTTTAGTTAAGCATTTAATGCTTTTCTTGCTGTAGAATAATTTCCTGGTTTTATCACAGTATACACAGTAACAAAAGATGGAGTTCACCCTACCCATGAGTCACTCTTTCTCTTTTCCCCCTCCTCAGATGCCCCTGCCTATGGCAGGGGAATGCAGTTAGATGATCTTTAAAAGTCCCTTCCAACTCAAACCTGTTATCTATCCTCTCTCTCCCTCCCTGATTTCTTGCTTCCTTTGCTTCGTCTGTCTGCATTGACAAAATTTCACATGTACCTTGCAGTGAGCCGAGTGCTGTGGTGGGCACAGAATCCATTTGCCTGGCACTGCACTGCTTTTGCTGTACAGGGGTTTGTGTCCTGTGGTTTTTTCCAATCTGGTATATCCCCTTCACTCTGTTCAGGTGCTTTTAGACAGCTCAGTGCTGCCTTTGCTGCGGCAGACCCTGGAGAGGGCTGTGGGCAGCAGGTGAGTGGAGGAATTGCCCTCAGCACAGGAGCTGTGGCTGCTTCTGCTGCAGGGGCACCTCTGCAGCTGTGCTGTTGTGGCTGCCCCAGGAGTTTGCTTGCTGTGTGCTCTGTGTTTATCTGGTGCAGGCACAAACACTGGGAAACCACCTTGGTGCTCTCACCTGAGAATCATCTCTTGCTCCGGGTCAGTCTCAGGTGACTTTGACCATCTGGGCTGGTTTTCCAACACAGATTGTGTCCCCACACAATTAGACAGACGTTAAGTGTCTCCGTGCAGGTCTTTAGGGAAAGGATTTCCAAGATGCCCGGCAGACTTAGCTGTACAGGTTCTGACATTTCTCCCCAGTTGGAAAATAGTTCATTTGTTCCAGTTGTCTTTGAAATTGCAGTGCATGAGCCTAAATCAGGTTGGAGCTTGCAAAACCCTTCCATCTTCATGCACTGGATGTATGTAATCCTTAAATTCTCAGGACAGGTTTAGTCAGAATAGATGTGCAATGATGACAAGGTAGGTAAAAATTAACCAGGACATGTTATTTTATTAGCTTAAAAGAGAAGGAGGGGAGAAGTGTGCCAGGGAATTGCTGTATGGTGCTGATAGCCAGAATTCTGAATGACTGACAGCATCACTGCCCTACCTGAGCCCCTGTTTTCTTTGTCTCTGTGGAACACTGGCCTTCATGTGACAGTGCCATGGTAGGGCAGTGAGCTCTGACATTCCAAGGTGGCCTTCACCTATCCACATTTGGGTGAATGTGTCCCTTTCTCTTAAAGTACACAAAGAAAGGCAGGGATGGAACTTCCTGCTTCAAGCCCTTTTAGTAGTATTATTAAATAAACTTATTGTTTAATTCTGAGTATGAACTTGAAGTATTCTTTACTTCTGTTAGAAGCTGAAGTCAATCAATTGAATTTGAAGTAGAAATAGTTCCCATGATAATTTTTTAAAACAGCCTGGCCTTCTGATGGGTGGTGATCACAGTGTAGTCTCTCTTTATCATGTCTGATTCTAATTTTCTGATTCTGAAGCAGTGGGTGTAGGTTTGTTTTGGTATTGGACATCTGTGTATTTAGCTGGTATTAGCTGAAAACTATAAAAGGTTTTTTGGCTTTCATTTTGGTTTTCTTTTTCAATTTCTTTCCCCCATGAATAATTATTTCAATTTTGTGGAATGTTTCAAATTGTGGTAGGATGGGAAATGTATTCCTTTGGTTTTGATTTCTAAATAAGCATTAAGAGCAGCATGTTGCAATTCAAGGCACCCTCTCTTCAACCCACAGCCGTGAAATTGAGTGAAAGGTGGAGTTTGATTCATTGTGACTTTTTAGAAGAAACTAGTTATTCCAGCGCTGACCCTGAGGGCGAGGTGGGCAGCGTTGGTGCGGGCTGCAGCGGAAGATCAGCCGAAGGCAGCAGGTGAGGGTGGTGTTCTCTGGGATGCCCAGGGTGGGAGCGTTCCCGCAGAGAGCCGGGCTGGCACGGAGGGGCTGGGAGGCTCTCTGCTCCTCCCGGCTCCACAGGGAGCCCGGGCTGCTGCCCTGGCCGGCCGAGGGCAAGAGCAGAGGGAGAGGCTGCTGCGGAGGGCCTGGCCCTGCATGGGTCCGTGCTCCTCGCTGTGCTGCCCCGCCGGGCGGAGCTGGGGCTGTGCCCGGCCGGCTCTGCAGGGCTGCAGCCTGGCTCTGAGCGCTCGGGCTGGCTCACAAGGGCCCCACACCGGGGAGGTCTTGTCTTGCTCTATTTGATGCTGCAAGATTGGGTGCTCACAGCTCAGACTTGCATTTGAGGGCCATGTACTTTTTGAGCAATAACTCATAAGGCCAACAGAAAAGTATTGTTCAGTGTTCTCTGCAATGGGAACTGTAGAAATAAGT